TCAGCCTCCCTAGTAGCTGGGATTACAAGCATGCACCATCACACCCAGCTACTTTTTGTATTTTTAGTAGAGACGGGGTTTCATCATGTTGGCCAGGCTGGTCTCGAACTCCTGACCTAAGGTGATCCACCCGCCTCCCAAAGTGCTGGGATTACAGGCGTGAGCCACTGCACCTGGCCTGGATAACCTCAAAATTTTAAATGAAGGGATTGGAGGTAACATCTAGGATTTTATCTAGTTCTGTCTTCTATGATTCAAACCCCAAATTCTCCACTGGAATAACTGCTGCTGGAATCAATATTCCTGGCTGCGCGTCTCTGAAAAAAAGCTCTCACATAAGGCTAATGAGAGGGAAAACTAAGGGAGGATCTCTCCTTTCAAGGCCACATAGTCAGGGTTGTTTAATAGGCATACAAAGTGAAGACATATTTACCCATTCACCATGAAAAAACACTTTTATAAAGGGCCCAATACCTGGGCTTAATAGCTTCATTTCTTCTGTGATCTTGCAGTATACATCAAAAAATTAACAAATAACATCCAGTGACATGATCTTGGCTCACTGCAAACTCCGCCTCCCGGGTTCCAGCGATTCTCCTGTCTCGGCCTCCCAAGTAGCTGGGATTACAGGCATGCACCATCACAGCCGGCTAATTTTGTATTTTTAGTGGAGACGGGGTTTCTTTCTCCATGTTGGTCAGGATGGTCTCGAACTACCGACCTCAGGTGATCAGCCCGTCTTGGCCTCCCAAAGTGCTGGGATTACAGGCGTGGGCCACCGCGCCCGGCTTGCCCCGCCCCCCGCAATTTCTAAACTGTATCTGTCTCCTCCCAAGCCCTTGTTCCTTCATCCCCCACCCGGTGCAGATTCAGACAAGCATTTTAGTTCCTAAGCCTCGCGGTGCTCTCAGCTCCCGCGCCTCTGAGCTGCCCACACCCCTCCCAATCCCCTCCTCCGCGCCGCCGTCCTTCTCGCTCTTGGATGCCCGCAGTGCCCGCTCCCTCTGAACTCGCCGGAGCAGGGATACAGCCGCCCGGGGCCTCTTGCTCGTGCTTGGTTTTCCGTACCCCACTTCCTAAAGGGTCTTTAGGGGTTCCCGGACTCCTTCGCCTGGGAGCCTCCATCCGCCCCGCACAGCCCCCGGCAGGGCCGAGGGGCGGCTTCAGTGGCGACCTGGTGGGGCCTAGCCGCCCTGCTCCCTGACGTCAGCGCCGGCGCCGTCATTGAACAGCTTTTGCTTAGGGCAGAAGAACCTATGGGCACAAAAAGCAGCATCGCGTAGCGGTGGCGGAAGAACGAGCAGGAGCTTGAATTTCAGTTTTCTTATGAGGAATTTTCCAGAAAAGATATCTTCACTGTGAAATAAGTAAATAAACGCCCACTCAGTACAGTAAGTATTGATACCGTCCTGTAGCATTTGGCTGGAAAGTGGTGTCAATAGGGTTTTTCCTTCAGACTTGACGCTACTGTGCAGAAGGGCCAATGCCAATCCTTCTGTGAGGAAGTTTTTTTTTCTTCCTAAATATGTTAATTGCCTCAACTTGGACTAACGGTCACAGTCGTGAATATGAGTGTAAGAAACAGTTTCTTTCTCACATGTATGAAACGGAAATTTTCCTTCATGTAAGGCCACTATTCAGAGTAAAGTCAAGATTATGTAACCTGCAAAATGAAGCACTAACTTCATTTCAAATGAAATAAAATTTCATCTGATCAGAAACCCCTTGGAGCAGTTTATATTAACCTAATTATCTTTTATTACTGCAGTAAGTTCATTGAAGATTATGGAATGCATCTAAAAAGCAGTTATATTTACAGGTCTCAAAATTAAATGCTAAGGAAAAGCATTATTTCTGCAAACCCAGGTAGTACGGACAAGCCGAAGGGAGTTTCTGTCAAGTTTTACTCTAAATTCAATCATGGATCAGCTAGATCTCGGCTTGGTTATTCTTGGAGGAGCTGCTTTGCAAATGATTCCACTCTGAGCTCGCCGGCCACAGTAGCATGAAATGGATGGCGGTTTCCTCTTCCTAAGACTGGGTGTGGTTTGGCTGGACAGAGTCTATACAGTGGGCGACTCTGGCGGGATTTGAGGAGCCTAGAGAGGCCCACCACATGTGTGTCTCCCCCTAGTGACCAACGAACTGAAGTTCCTGTGGTTAAAGGCAATTGCTGATTTTGCCATTAGCTGGAAGGCGAAGCTCAAGGAACTCCTGCGTGTACAGCACCATTCTAGAAGCTGGATGTGTTTAAAGATGTGACGCAATATGTACCCAGAAGGAATAAGACTAGATCACTAGGGTACAAATTAAAATATCAAGTTGCATACGCTGAATGTGGGATTAGCTCCGCGGAACACACTTTGGAAAACACTACTTTAACGACCTCATTCTGAGTCCCTGTAATGCTTAAGATTATAGCACAGTTTAGGCACCTTATATATATGATGACGGAATGCTTTCCTAGAGTGATATTCTGTGGTGGAAAGAGCAAATCAAAGATCTCTGTGTTCTCTGTGACAGTGGAATAAATTGCAACTATTAATATAAATAGGGGTTTTAAAAAATGTGGGAAAAGTCTGAAGAAGCATTTGCAGAAACTCCTTACAAAGTCAGTGACAGCAAGGCCAGGCCAAGGTGGGCGGATCACTTAAGGCCAGGAGTTTGAGACCAGCCTGACCAACATGGCAAAACCTGGTCTCTACTAAAAATACAAAAATTAGCTGGGCGTGGGTGGCTGAGGTGGGAGAATTGCTTCAACCCAGCAGATAGAGGTTGCAGTGAGCTGAGATCGCATCACTGCACTCCAGTCTAGGCAACAGAGCAAGACTCTGTCTCCAAGAAAAAAAAAGAAAAAGACATGTACTATAAATGTAAAATATAAAATATACGCTGGAATTTAGAGACATATGTAAAAAAGAATGTAAAATATCTCATTAATAATTTTTATATTTATTACATATTAAAATGATAATGTTTTTGACAGGTTAAGTAAAATATAACTCAATTAGTTTCTTTTCCCAAAGAATGTGGCTACTAGAAAATTTTAAATTGTATATATGGTTTGCATTATCTTTTTTTCAGACAGTGCCGATGTAATAGTAACAAAAAGTCTCAGCATCATTTAAGATAAAAGGCCATCATCAGACAATGCAGGACAGATTGTAACAACAGGACAACAGGAAGTACTACAGAGATTCAGAGAATGCCATAAATAACCTTGGAATCCTGTGCTTGGGTAAACCATTTCCTTTTTTTACTTAGCTGATCCCTTAAAGCCTGTGAAGTTGAAATGTTACAGAGGGAATTATTTTCTATTTGAGTTAGCCACCTCAATTTCATAACTTTGTAAGAAGAAAATGGCTTACATTTTTGCATCTTCAAGGTTTTCAAAGCATTTGCACATTTATTATCTCATTTCATCTTTCTAATCCGAGATGAAGGTAGAGTAGGTTATCCCCATTTTACTGGTGAGGAAACTGAGGCTCAAAGAGTTCATGTGATGTGAAGAATATTGGAATTAAGGATGCCAGAGAACAGTGACTCAGAGGGACCAAATCATTATGGGGTCCATTTGGAGGTCTCTATGTAGAGGGGGAGCTTCCTCAAGGACTTCTGCGGAGACCTCCTTATTGGAGGAGAGGAGGAAGCTTGAAGATACTTTTCCCCACTCGGACTCAGTACTAAGCACTTTTCCACTCCAAGCCCTTCACCTTCTCCTCATCCCAGGCCCTGGGTCCATAAAACTGCAGGAGCCTTTTGTTCAGGCATTCCCTCAGCAATGCTGTGCTGATCCACCTGACCCTGGATTGGTGCCATTCTATCACAGCATGGGATTAAAGACTTGACCCTTCCTTTCATATTGGCTTATTGTCTTCACTGCTTTTCTCACATCTGGCTCCTCAACTCTCTGGAACCAAGCTTGGCCCTTGACAATTAGACCTGCTGTCTCTTCCCACTTTGACTTCCCTCTTGTCTCCCATCCTGGTACTGTTCCATGCTCTGGCTAGGCACAGCCCCCAACTTTAAAGTTTTTGAATGATCACAGGCATTTCTGGGATTTGGCAAGGGATAAATTGAGTTGAGACTACATTGAGTTTGGGTTTAATGGGATATATGTATGTGGTTTGTAGTCACATCCATGTATACTTAAATATTGGTCATCCCACCATTGGAATGGTTTCTAGGAATACTCCTACTAGTGATTGTGCAGGTTCACCTACACCCTACACATAAAAGCAGGGCCAGAGGTCACACTATGATGTGAATGTGACCTATTGCTTGGCACCAGAAATATGCGGGTAGTGAAGAAGAAACAGATTGAAATGAACTGTGATAGATCCATTGCAAGAATTTCTCCAATCCTTCCCTGTAGGCAGACCCTTTGCAATGTGATTTTTTTTTAACTCTACCCATGAAAAGTTGGGCCCACCTCTTGAATCTTGAATTTGTGACTTGCAATGCTGTGGAAAGAGCCATACTTGAAGAATAGGGCTGCTTTAGTCTCTAGAAAGGGTCTACTTTAAACCCATGCCAACAAAGCTTTTAAAATACTCCTCCTATAAGAATCAATGTGATCCATCAGTAAATTAACTGTGAGAAAAAAACTCAATACTCTTTAAAGGAAGACAACAAAGTCTTGATTCACAACAAGGTAGAATTTGTAATGTACAACATATAATCTATCAAAATGTAAGAGAATCAGAAAAGCAGGAAAATGTGACACATAATCAGAACATGTGTTGCTGGATCGTGCCGATCACCTTTGTTTTCCAACACTGGAGGACTTGTGGAATCTTGACTCAGCTTGTCACTCCTCAGTGGTAACTTTTCTCTGCTGGCCTTCACAGAATCTTACTCTGCACATGCACAGCTTTATATTTGGCTAAAGACTTCAAGGGAATCCCTATGCAGGATTCTGTAGTTTCTTCTCTACACCACTTCTTATCCTCAGGCACTCTGCCCTACTTACTCTAGGCAACTCAGCATCCCTGAGGTCTTTCTGAACTTCACTTCTCCATTCTGCAGTCCAAAATGAGCCCTTGAGCAGAAATGTAGGGCCACCAGAGGGATCAACTCATGTGTTTCTCCTCTGTCAGGTTAGCAGCCTGTGCTGTTGTCTAAGATTCTTTGCTTGTCAAACTTTTATCAGGCTCCTAAGGCTTCTGCTAAGCCCATTTGTGCACTTCAATGTAAAAGCCAGTTGTAGCAAGAACCCTGCTTAGTTGGGTTAGCAAGAATCCCCACTTTTGATATCTGATCACCCTTGATATCTAATTGGGTTCCTCGTCCTCTACCATCCCAAAGGTGACATCTGATTAATCTGGCCTGACTTCAGCAAGAATCCTGTTAGGTTGGTTGGTTTAGCCAGAATTCCCCTTACCTTTGATGTTTCCTCTTAGTAATTTTCTATCCACTGCCACCACCCTGCCCCTTGTCTATAAATTCCTTCTTGCCCATGCTATATTCACAGCTGAACCTAACCTCTCTCCCCTACTGCTAAATCCCATTGTACAGGTCCCTGTACCTTTTGAGATAGTCCTAAATAAAATTTGCCTGATTGTGCTTTAACAAGTATCATTTTTAAAATTTCTGTTTTTTTTGTTTTTTTTTTGTTTTTTTCCAGAAGACAGGGTCTTACTGTGTCACCAGGCTGGAGTGCAGTGGCATGATCATAGCTCACTGCAGCCTCAAACTCCTGGGCTCAAGTGATTCTCCCATCTTAGCCTCCCAAGTAGCTAGGACTACAGGAGGGTACCATCAAGCCCACCTAATATTTTTATTTATTTTTATTTTTTGTAGGAATGAAGTCTCACTATTTGCCCAGACTGATCTCAAACTCCTGGCTTCAAGCAATCCTCCTGCCCCAGTCTCCTAAAGTGCTGGGATTATAGGAGTGAGTCACTGCACCTTGCCTCATTGAATAATTTTTTCTTTATATGTATAATGTCTGAAAGGGGCTGCCTTCTGTCTTTTGTCCAGTTTTAAAGTTGTTTACAGTGAGAGGAGCACTAGCCCACACCTGTTACTATATCACATTTGGAAGCAGAATTCAGTTACCCTTAAATTAGAGATGAGGAAACTGAGGAAATGAAAGGTTAAGCAACTTGCCCCAAATTACACAGCTGTTTACATGTGATGGAGCTTGAATTCAAACCTAGGCAATCTATCTTTAGAGATGCCCACTTAATTATTGTACTGTACAGCTTCTTAGAAAAATGGCTTTATATATGCATGTAAAATGTTTTGTCCAGTGTCAGGTAACATAGTCAATCCTTAATAAAGTCTAGCTAAATTATTCTTTAAAATCCTAAAGCTCAGTATGAATTTGTTCCCAGCCCAGTGTTTCAAAGCAAAAGATGATTAATAGGACACAAGCACCATCAAGTGA